GCCCGAGGAAAAAGCTGCTTTTTTCCAGCGTTTACAATTTATGCAAATGAGCCATGCAGTTTTAAATTTTGTTTCTGTAAAACGTAAACAAATGTGGCAAAGCTGAATTAAACACATTATAATGTCAAACAGGCTGATGTGTCTCTAGAGAGGTTATGGTTTATATGTTGTAAAGTTGTTGTAAACTGGAAGTCAGTTTGAAAAATAAGTTCATCCTTTCATTTACATATCTCACCTAAAAATAAAATGAACTAAATTTTGAACTAGTTCATGAAAAGTGTGAACTTGCACAACACTGATCAGGATGTAATTTGACTGTGTTTGTGTTACTACTTTATGTCTGTGCTTATGCCACAATAAGGACAGCAAAATAGGGTCATTTTATTAATTTTTATATAAAAATATCAATTTCTCCACAGTATTTGGACTTAGACGGTTTCTTTTTTTTTTCTTTTTTTTTTTTTTTTTTTTACAGAGAATTTCCCCTGCTTTTGAAAAAAAAAAAAAAACTTTCACAGTGCACAGATGAAGCAGGTGTGCAGAGAAAAGACACTTGCTGCGAATCCAGGCGAATCCGTCGCGTTTCTTTGGCCTTTATGTTTAGAATCGCGCCAAATCCACGAACCACTTCTTGAAGCAGTCACGTGGTACGGGCGGTTCACGAGGCTTCGAAGGTCACCACATACGTCACCGATACAAACCTCGATACGCACTTCACCAAAGACATCCTTACGGAGAGGGGTCACAACAAACGCAAACGCCACAACATACCAAGCCACAACAAAAAGCCACAACACACCAACAAAAGCCACAACGGAAATGACCGTGGGACTCTGTATTTGTTGCGGCGTTTGCATTAAAATAAAAGCCACATCACAAACGCAAATGCGCAACACATCAAAAAGCCACAACGGAAGTGACCACGGGACTCTATTTTCCGACGGACCGATCAAGCGGCAAGTGAAGAAGAAGAACTACAACGTGAAACGAATAATGATAAAACAATAAATTACTTTTACTTATGTTTCCAACGTCACCGTTCCTTTACTTTTCACGTTGTAGTTCTTTTTCTTCACTTGCCGCTTGATCGGTCCGTCGAAAAATAGAGTCCTTTTAATGTGTTGTGGCTTTTTGATGTGTTGTGGCTTTTTAATGTGTTGTGGCATTTGCGTTTGTGTTGTGGCATTTGTATTTGTTGCGGCGTTTGCATTAAAACAGAGTCTCGCGGTCATTTCCGTTGTGGCTTTTTTTTATGTGTTGTGGCTTTTTTTGGGTGTGTTGTGGCTTTTTGTTGTGTCGTCGCATTTGCATTTGTTGCGGCGTTTGCGTTTGTTGTGACCCCTCTCGGCTTCCGTACTTCCTGGATTACTCGGCACACGCTTCGAAGCCTCGGCACATCTCGTAACGTCACACACCTTCACTAGAATCATTTGGATCATTTCAGCGCTGGAATCGTCAAAATCTACCGAACTAAAAGATAAAAAAAGAGCTTGAAAAGTACCGCTTCATGACATCACAAGGTGGACCAGAGCATCATGAGCTTCTGTTCAAAGTTCACATTCTGGCAGTCGCATTTAGAGAGACGCCTGAAATATGAAGAGCTAAACAAATCCGAGCCTCCCATGGATTTCAGAAGACGCCGAGGTGGAGATTACAGAGCGAGCGTTTGTTCTTCGATGATAAGACGGTTTTGTTTTGTCATTTGTAAAGTCTTTTGCGGTTTGCTAATTGTCACCATTCAGACTGAGATTTTTGAGAGTTTAAATGTCACTTACTGCTTCACTGATCAAAGAAGTGCTGATTACAGATTAAATAGGCCCATAGTTATATGTTTACGACAACACCACAGTCAGAAAGTATTATTTGTGTTACCGAGTCGCCTTGAGCTGTTTTCTGTCAACTTCTCTAAAACTCAAAATGTCACGAAGCTGTAGTTTTCAAGTTAACAGCTCCTTTTACCTTTAAGTCAGTAGAGATTCGCAATTCCATTTTTGTTTTGTTTTTTTTTCTTTTTTCATGTTTTGTGGTCTGAGGTTGTTTGGAGACGTTTCCAGCAAGTTTTGAGCAAATTTGGTCAAATTTGAGCCAAAACAACAGGGCTGGATTTGGCGAAATATCAAATTTTTGTCAGGTTTTGGTCCCAAACTGCCTTCCAATGACAAAAAATGCTCTAATATGTACATCTGGGGCAGTCTGCGGTCGTCTAGAGATGTTTCCAGCAAGTTTTGGTCAAATTTGAGCTGACACAACAGGGCTGGACTTAACAAAAAATAAAAAAAATTTCGTTTATTTGCAAATGTCTGGATAGAAATACAGATTTTCAGAAACAGGCCATGTTCATGTGACATCATCAAATACAAAAAAAATTTAAAAAAAAGTTAAAAATGAGGTGGAGGAAAGATCAGAATTTTATGGTGGAATTTGCTGTTTAAATTTTTTTTTTCCTTTTTAATTAAACTTATAGTATATATACAGTACATACATACAAATTACCGTATTTTTTTAACTATAAGGCGCACCGGATTATAAAGCGCAATATCAATAATGTTGAATTCTCTCGTCGATTTTCATACATAAGGTGTATTAAGTGAAACAAACGGACGACACTTGAGACTCATCCCTTAGTCCAGGCGTCCACGATCCATCGGCAGATCGTGGCGTAATTCGCCCGGTGTTGCCTCCGTCTTGATGAATGTGGATTATGACTGTGAATGTTGTTTCCTGCGTGGAAGATTCAAATATATTTTTTATATATACTTTTATTCTCTGGCTTTTAACACCGCGTGAGTTGTGTGGTCCTCTGAGTTTTTTATTTTTATTTTTATGTGTTTTTATTGTTTTTATTGATTTAATTTATATATTGGTTTATTTATTTCTATTCTATGATTTAGTTTTTATTTTATTTTACTGGTTTTATTATTTTAAGACTACTATTATTTTAGTAGTTTATTTTATCATCTTATTATTGTTGTTATTATTATGTATTTGTGCAGCACTTTGGAAACTGTTTGTTTGTGAAATGTTCTATAGAAATAAAGTGGATTGGATTGGATATACACTGAGTAATAATGTGTTTAATGCAGCTTTGCGCACTTTGTTTACCGTTTACAGAAACAAAATTGAAAACCACATGGCTCATTTGCATAAACTATAAGCTCTGAAAAAACAGCTCACTCCTTGTGCTTTTTGGAGCCATAATGCTCTGACAATCCATCAAGAGGTGCGGCTTCGTAGTTTACAAAAGTCGTACTAAAACATTTTGACAGATTTTTGAGCACCGTGTATCACATAAAATCAGTTCGAGGTCAGTAAGCACACCCAGAATGAATACATAAGGTGCACTGTCGATTTTTGAGAAAATGAAAGGATTTTAATTGCGCCTTATAGTCCGAAAAATACGGTATTATAAATATACATAGATGCAATCACATGGATAGTATACACAAATATTACAAGACATAGGGTTAATTTATAGATTCAGATTGATTGAAAACACAACGGAGCACCTCATGCACAGCCAGATGACATCATAAAGTGGAACAGTGTTTTCAGTTTGAGAGAAAAACTCAGCGTAAATCTGCAGGGTTTGTGTGTTAATCATGTGTGAATGAAACAAAACACAACTCTAGGTCTGTTTTTTTTTTATGATGAGGAAACAATATTATAACATCGATCAGAAAATGCATGAGCCCTTTAATCGATAATGGAAAAGTTAAGCATTCAAAGATCAACTCTCTTATCGTTTTATATGTACTTTCATGTTCTTTACACATTCTTAGAGCAGTCAGACAATGGCAATTACTTCAAAATATGTCATAATAAGCAAGAACAGACATCACCAGCCTAATATATTGTAAAGAAATGGTTAAGTAAAGGCGCTGATTCAAGGTGGAGTGACCGACAATATCTGTGTTACTCAACAGAAGCCAAATACATAGAGATAAAGTTATTCAAACAAGCATTTAAGTCGCTCTAAAAACGAACGCCGTCTGTGTATTCGTAATGATCCTTCAGAAAATACACAATATGAGCCATTAAAAGTAAATAATCCGACAATAAATGTAAACTTTCTAGATAAAACTTCTCTAATATGACAAAAGAGTCTTACAGTAGCTCTTCTATAGGTTGAGGTCGTACAAAAGTCACTACAAAAGGACCCATATTACGCCGTTTTTCTGATCTGTGTCATACGGATGTAACAATAACCAAAATATCGTATCGTCAAAAGTCTCACAATAACATCGTGGGCCGTCACAATATATCAAATTACGCATGGTTTTATAGCCGCAACAGCTTATAAACATCAGAAACTTCATATCCCATGATTAATTTCAGTGCAAAACATGAAGAAAAGTGTTTTTTAGTTGAATTCTTGGGATTACGACGGAAATAATTCGCACCAAAATCTTATCAGGGTATTTTAAAAGCAAAAAAGTGTCCCATTTACAGTCAAAATATCGCAATAAATATTGTAACCGTGAGATTTGGATATGGTTACATCCCTTTTTTGGTATTATAATGTTGTTATGTCCTCAAAAACAGACGAAACGAAAAAAAAATCTGCTCTAAAAAAGGTACTAAATGTAAAATGTAGCCTAAAATGTATGAGTTTTGGAGACGTTGACAGACTAATAATAAAGATTTACTCAAACATGTGTGAATGAAACAAAAAAACACAACTCCAGATGTGTTTTTGGGGGAGGTAACAACATTAGAACATGACTTAAAGCGCACAAGAGTGAACTTTGCGTAATATAGGCCCTTTAGGAGAAACTAATCAATCATTTCTCAGTATGATATAAGTATGTAGGCTACACTTCTCTCCAGACTTCTTTACACAGCACCCCAAAGCCTTCACAGAACAGATTATTGTAGTTTCAAAGTTGTGCAACTCCAAAATGCGCAGTGATTTCAACCAAAAACAACATTAAAGCGAAAATCAAAACTCCAAAACTTTGCAGCTCGTTGTTAAACCGCGCTATAAAACAAACTTGTCTTACCTGCTTCTTTACTTTTGTCTCCTCAAACAGTCTGCAGTGTCCAAGTATCCAAAGGTGTGTCCAAAGTTGCCCGGTTTGGATAGTCCGTGCGTAAAACTCTCGAAACTTGCGATTTTCGTCCAACAAGTGCTACGGAGAGTTAGCGAAGTTACCAAAAAAAAAAAAAAAACTCTCGCTGCTGGTGGTGGACAAACTGCAGCGTTTCGTGCAGTTCATAAAAAGTTCCCTGTTGTCCAAAGCTTTCTTGTAAACGTCCACCGTGCAGGTTACGCGCTGGTCGTGTCCGTTTTCTCTCTTCTTCTGCCGCAACAGGTGTCAGAAACAACTTCGTGTGACAAGTTCCCGTGGCTAAATGAGCGATAGCAGGACGTGTGTAGCCAATTACGCACGGACGGGAGAATGAAGGGAGAGGAGGGACCGAGGGAGGGGAGCTGCGAGGTGGGAGGGCACGAGTTAAAACGCTCTGAAAAGTTGAACTCAGCGCAGAGAGTTTGAGCCAGTGAAAGTGGAGCGAGCGCGGAGAGTGTGGAGAGAGGCGATGAGGCGCGCTGTAAGTCAGTTCGGAGACTGTTTAGAAAAGTCTGAGGTGCGAGAAATGACGAAATATATCTCCGTTTTTACACGTGTACTTGAGTTATTGTTTGACTACTTCAAAAATATTCTCAAAAAGGCAAGAAAGTAGAAACGCAAACCAAACCTTGTGCGTAATTTTTGTCCGTCTACTAAAAAATAAATAGGCTATATAAAAATTTTTCTTTTCAGGAAACAAAAACACGATCTGTATGGCCTTATTTATTAACTCAAGTAGCGTGAAATCTACACTTAAATGCGTAATGTTACTCAAAATAAATAAATAAAGTAAGGAGCGTTTAAAGTCTGCACATTTCCTGCTTTTGAATAAACTTTTACGCATCGATCACTTCGCTAAAACCAACAAGGAAATCGCCTCTCAACAAAACAGGCAGTTATGACAGACAAATTAAGTTGTTCAGATGGACTTAAAGAGGTTGTCAGGAGTGGGATTTGAACCCACGCCTCCATCTGGAGACCAGAAGTCCCTGTACTCAGGAAGGAGTGAACCTTGAGTCTGGCGCCTTAGACCGCTCGGCCATCCTGACTGTGAGAAACATAAAAGTGAAAACGCGGTTAACTCACCACTGCACTACTGTGTTCAACTCTCAGTTCTCCTTTTCAGTTTCCTTTTAGCCAGATTCACGGTAACAGCAAAGTCTGTCTATAAAGTTTTGTGCACAAACGTAGATCCAAGCTGAATCCTACACATATACGTACATGTGCACAAATTAGTGGAAGTAGACCGATTATGTTTTAAATGGAGGTTTATTGTAAAAAAAAAAAAAAATCCTGTCAGGAGTGGGATTTGAACCCACGCCTCCATATGGAGACCAGAAGTCCCTGTACTCAGGAAGGAGTGAACCTTGAGTCTGGCGCCTTAGACCGCTCGGCCATCCTGACTGTTACGACATACAGAGGTGAAAAGCACAGTTTACTCACCACTGCACTATTGTGTTAAGGTTTTGGTTGATCTTTCAGTTTCCTTTCAGCCAGATTCACAGTAACAGCAAAGTCTGTCTATAAAGTTTGGCGCACAAACGTAGCTCCAAGCTTAATCCTACACACATATGCACTTTCACATGTGTACAAAAAGGAAGTAGAACAATTATGTTTGAAATGGATGTTTATTGCAAAACTTCATTGTCAGGAGTGGGATTTGAACCCACGCCTCCATCTGGAGACCAGAAAACCCTGTTCTCAGGAAGGAGTGAACCTTGAGTCTGGCGCCTTAGACCACTCGGCCATCCTGACTGCACTGATAAACAGGTGAAAAGCACAGTTTACTCACCACTGCACTATTGTGTTTAATGAACAACTTCCAGCTGACCTTTGTTATATCTTCTCCTTTAAGACAGACGCACAGTAACATCAAAGTCTATCTACAAAAGTTTGCGTAGATCCAAGCTTAATCCTACACGTATATGCACTGTCACATCTGCATAAAGATATGGAAGTAGACCAATAATCTTTTAAATAGATGCTCACCTTAAAATCTCCCTGTCAGGAGTGAGATTTGAACCCATTCCTCCATTCGGAAACCAAAAGTCCCTGATCTCAGGAAGGAGTGAACCTTGAGTCTGGCGCCTTAGACCGCTCAGCCATCCTGACTGCGATGACATACTGAGATGAAAAGAGCAGGTAACACTGCGCGTTAGATTTGTTAGATGTTCTTTTATCCAGATGCACAGTAACAGCAATATTTATAAAGTTTGGTGCACAAACATAGATCCAAGCTTAATCCTACACATATACGTACTGTCACACCTGTACAAATCTATGGAAGCAGATCAATTATGTTTTAAATGGAAGTTTATCTTAAACATTCATTGTTAGGAGTGGGATTTGAACCCACACCTACATCTGGAGACCAGAAGTCCCTGTTCTTAGGAAGGAGTGAACCTTGAGTCTGTGTTAGGTCTGCCTAAACATTGTAAACAAGAAGAAAGACAAGAGATTAATTCAGTTTTACTCGCGAGGAGAACGGGCAGAGAGTGGGCATCAAAACCAACAGTCTCCACACGTTCTGATGACTCAAGGCCGCTCTCCTCCTTTTATTTCATTAGGAGGCCCTAGTTACAGAACGATAATTCTCAAGGGGAAGGGGAAACGCCTTCGACCGCTCGGCCATCCTGACTGTGAAGCAAAGCAGATGTGAAAAGTGCAGTTTACTCACCACTGACTATTGAGTTGCTCTTTATTAACTGTGTCCCTTTTAGCCAGACGCACAGTAACAGTAGTAAAGTCTATTTATAAATATTAAATATCTATAAAGTTTTGTGCACAAATGTAGATCCAGGCTTAATACTAAACATTTATGTACTGTCACATCTATACAAGACTATGGATGCAGAACAATTGTGATTTACCTGAAAAGTTCTGTGTCAGGAGTGGGATTTGAACCCACGCCTCCATCTGGAGACCAGAAGTCCCTGAGCTCAGGAAGGAGTGATCCTTGAGTCTGGCGCCTTAGACCGCTCGGCCATCCTGACTGTGAGACGCTGCTGTAGTGAGAAGCTCCGTTAACTCAGTTGTGCACTAGTATTTGTACTTGGGTTTGAGTTGTTCTTTGTTAACTGCTCCTTTTTCGCCAGACGCACAGAAGCAAGAAGCAAAGTCTGTAAAGTTTTGCGGACAAATGTAGATCCAAGCTTAATCCTACACATACGTGCACTTTCACATCTGTACAAGCTTAGACGTAGACCAATTATGTTTTACATGGAGGTTTGACTTAAAAGCTCGTTGTCAGGAGTGAGATTTGAACCCACGCCTCCATTCAGGATAACGGCTTCGTGACTCTGATGTCGGACTTTTCTGCTGCATACGGACTGCACCAGGACTGATCCAGGTCCGGGACCAGACCAGGACCAGACCAGGACCAGAGCGAGACCAGACCGGGACCAGACCAGGACCAGACCTGGACCAGAGCGGGACTGAGAGTGAGACCAGAGCGGGACCAGATCAGGATCAGACCGGGACCAGACCAGGACCAGACCGGGACCAGACCGGGACCAGAGCGAGACCAGACCGGGACCAGACTGGGACCAGAGCGAGACCAGACCTGGACCAGAGCGGGACTGAGATTGAGACCAGACCGGGACCAGAGCGGGACCAGACTGGGACTAGAGAGGGACTGAGACCGAGACCAGAGCGGGACCAGAGCGGGACCAGACCGGGACCAGACTGGGACCAGACCTGGACCAGAGCGGGACTGAGATTGAGACCAGACCGGGACCAGAGCGGGACCAGACTGGAACTAGAGAGGGACTGAGACCGAGACCAGAGCGGGACCAGAGCGGGACCAGACTGGGACCAGAGAGGGACTGAGACCGAGACCAGAGCGGGACCAGACCAGGGTCAGACCGGGACCAGACCGGGACCAGACCGAGACCAGAGACCAGAGCTGAGGAGACCAGAGCCAGAGGACCAGCCGGGACCAGACCGGGACCAGACTGGGACTGAAACAGAGATGAGATCGGAACCAGTGCAAAAGTTCGGCATCGAGAGTCACGTAAACGGGAAACGGTCGTTATCCATTTTTTCCATTCTTTATTTAAACACAAAATCGAAAACTGAAAAAACGAATCATTATCTGTTTTTTCATTTTGGTTTTGGAGACAAATAATGAAGAAAACAGTTATTTTTTTGTTTTCTTATTTTTGGTTTTATATTGAAAAACAAATGAACGAGTGACACACGGATTCGTAGGCAGCATCTAGTGGTGAAGCGTGAGAATGCGACAGGGGCGGGTCAGTCAGTCTAATTACAGACGGCAGCTTTAACGTCCACACATAAACCGCACAAATAAACCGATTTATCTCAAGGAAATCTACATTTTGTGAGCGGCCGTTTCATGTTATCGACACGTGAGATCAGCAAAGATAGAGACTCATATTTACACAGTATAAAAGTGTCACGCGTGCACCTCACAGAACGTTTATTACGAGCAAACAGACTGTATCATGACGGCAATAAAAAGGACTAAAGCTGGGATTTTACTGCAAAGGAGAAGAAATTAATGTTGTGCAATGAAATGTCCAGCAACTCATGGCTTATCTGTGATTCACAACTAAGAAAAATGCACAAGTAGCAGACGACAAATCCAACAACTTGCATTTTTACACAAGAAATGTCCAGTGTTGGGGAGTAACAGGGCCTTTACAGGCCTTTACAGGGCCTTTACAGGGCCTTTACAGGGCCTTTACAGGGCCTTTACAGGACCTTTACAGGGCCTTTACAGGGCCTTTACAGGGCCTTTACAGGGCCTTTACAGGACCTTTACAGGGCCTTTACAGGGCCTTTACAGGGCCTTTACAGGGCCTTTACAGGGCCTTTACAGGGCCTTTACAGGGCCTTTACAGGACCTTTACAGGGCCTTTACAGGGCCTTTACAGGGCCTTTACAGGATTTACAGGGCCTTTACAGGCCTTTACAGGGCCTTTACAGGGCCTTTACAGGGCCTTTACAGGGCCTTTACAGGGCCTTTACAGGACCTTTACAGGGCCTTTACAGGACCTTTACAGGGCCTTTACAGGGCCTTTACAGGGCCTTTACAGGACCTTTACAGGGCCTTTACAGGGCCTTTACAGGGCTTTTAGAGTCTTTACATTACGTGTCCAACGTGCGGGAAATATTCAGCAGATTAGGAAACAATAATAAAAGCTTTTCTGCACGTCGCAATAAATATTCATGGAGAAGTCAGTGGTCGTGGAGGCAGACGACTGTGCTGTTGTCAGTGTTGGGGAGTAACAGATTACATGTACCAGGAG